AGGTGTGATACAGATATCGTGGATGTTGAGGGTAAACAAGGCAGCTGTCTTGCCGAGTGGGTAGAAGTTGCGGGAGGTTGGGCTTCTCCCTAGATTCGGGCAACTTCTTGCTTTGTCCGCTGTATAATCTTCGCCTCCTCGTTTCCATGCCTTTTTGTTCAATCATGAGCATTACTCGGGTTGCCGTTGGAGTTATTGTTGCTTGAGCCTTCATATTATGTTGGCTGTGGGGTTCTGGACGGCGTTCAACGGATCTGACAGCTTCTTTTATGGAAAATGGTGTGATCATTCTCATCAATATTCACAAATTCATCTAGCGTGCTTTGTATGTTTTCATTTGGATTGCCGCGTTTTCTTGTTAAATCAGAAAGACTTTCTTCTGGAAAGAGGCGGTTGCTGTCCGGGCGTCAGTTTCAAGATATGCCCCGAGAACCTCTACTGGAATCTACGTCCGATCTCTCAACAGGCAGGGCTATTTTCTCTACATAGCCCTTGGCTACGTTGAGTATGCCGCGCCTCTGTTCCTCACGGTCTCTGACCAAAGCTCGATGTGCGCTAGCCCTGATTTCAATCATGCCTGCTGCTACGCAATTCTCCTCGGCATCTTACTATACGTTCCGTCCATCTCAGGAGACAGGCCGGCATTAGGTACGACACTAAGTTCCAGCGGACAGATGAAGATGGAACTACATGCGGCGGTTAAACATTCTTGGTCCGCTTATCTTCCCAGAGACCACTAATCTATGTTCGATGTTCTGACGCACTGCCTTACCCTGTTCTACTTACTCACTTTTATTTCCCACCCTTGCTCGCCGTTGTGTCATGAATTGTACATATCTTCTTTTTTTTTCCGTATTTTTCCCTTGCTCTTCTGAGATCCTGGTGAAACTGGGTCATTTCAGATGCATAGCCCCAAGAACGCAAATAAACGACTTCCAGCATGGCTTATGTATAGAGTATGAGATTTCTCCTCGTATGTAAAGGCGGTTTACATTAGTACTAGTAGTAGTAGTATGGCCATGACCGGGTAATGAGTACTACTACTTCCAAATTAGGTAGCTGCATCAACTAGGCTCCTTCAGGTTAGTGGGTGCCTGATAGGAGATAAAAGAGATGCCTTATCAGTTCGATTTCAAAAGAAGTGCACATGATAAAGTAGGTACTCGTAGTATCCAGGCAACAAAGGGACAAGCAGGCTACCGAAATAATATACTAGGTAGATTCCCAGCTTTTCCTATTCCTTCCTACTCAGCCAATCCTGGGTCGGACCGTGACAGGTGAATTCCGTGCCTTGTCATAGTACTAGTAGTAGTAAGCTCACCACAGATGTCCCTGTCATGTGCCCCGCGTGTGACAGTCACTATCTCCAACTCTATCCTCTTAACATCTTCTCCCTCGGTCATCTTCAGCTTTCGACAACGCTACTAGCTATAAACTGACTCTTGCCATGTTAAGATCTCTATAAGATTCGATATCGAACAGATTCTCTTCATGATCAGTTTGGTCACGAGTCTAGAAGCGTCTAATATACTACTCCGCTCGGACCCGGGACCCTCTCTCACCCCACAGCGTCCGCCTCGTCATCGGGCATCCGCTTTTTTAGGCTGAGCTTATCGAGGGATATCCACAAGAAAACAGCCCTCTGTTGCCAAAAGGACAGAGCAAAAGCTTCCCTCTCGACAGATAACGTATCCTCCCGCTGACTTTCGTTTTACTTGCTCTTTGGCTTAGCCTACGTCTATTGTATTCGACCGGAACTCCGCATCTGTGGACCTGGCTTGCTCTGACTTTTGCCCCATGCTGCTTCCACACTGACGACATGGCTGACTCTCCAAGGCCTCACTCCAGACGTCCATCCCTCACCTCATCCTCCTCACATCTGCGGTATCCAACCTTTCCTCCCCTAAGTGGCTCAGTTGAAGAGTGGTTGTCTCGCTCGAGGCCTATCAGTATGACGTCAAGTCATCTGGCGGACAACACGCCCAGGTCACTGAGCGAAAGCTGGGCAACACTGAGTGCTTCCGACATTCATTCTGAGGATGGCAGCCGCTCTGAACAAACTGATGTTGGTTCTTTAATCGACCAAGCCGGGCCGGATGATGTTGCGAGTCTCGATGAGCAGTATAGCAGCAGCGAGGTTGATGGGAACGAAGACGACGATTATGACTCGAAAAGCAACGTTTTTGGATCTCAAGAACTACCCGCTCTTTTCCCTCAGGTCAGAGGCTCTATCGATGACAGTAACATAACCACGAAGACTGCTTTTCGTCAATCAACTGAGTCGATAGAGTTTACCGAGCCTGAAAAATGGCCCGAGGTTGAACAGGTGGAACTGAAACACACCATACGTATGTTTGAAGGAATCGAGGCTGATAGGCTTAAGAGTCAGTTCTCTATCAACCCGCAGGACTCTATTCTTACAGCCACCGTTCAACAAACTATGACGAAGAAGAGTCTTGACACTGATAAGCCGTTCCGTGTGCTCTATATCGGTGATCCTGAGTTTCGAAACATCATCCTCGATAAAATCGGGGATGTCCTTGTATCGAGCACCTGTAGTGACTTTGAAAGCGGCTCCACAGAATCCTCTAGATATCATGTTGTACCGACATCGTTCGGGATCGGCGCAGTCCCTAATTTCGCTGAGCTCCTTCCAATCCATGTCCAACTTATTGTTGACGAGTGTCCTGGGACTTCTATTGGCTTTCGGAGCGATAATCCCGACACCATTAGGTTGGATTTCAAAAATCGGCCTTCATGCACGTCTTTCTGGACAGGGAGCGAGTATTGCGTCTCATCCCCAACTGAATGGACACTTCCTGATGTAGCAATTCTTTTCTTATCCAGCAGAGATTCTGCAACTATGATGGAGACCCAAAAGCTGGCCCGCATTTTCATGGAACGGCATTGCATTCCGACTATGGTTATATCCGAGAAACCGCTTTGGGATCTGTCCGAATCGATTCCTCTGAACCATCATAGCCTCCACATGTGTCTGGAGTCTCGTCATTCCCTGACTGGGAAAGTCACCGTCCTAAGAAGGTATCCTATTGATCTAGCGACTTTTGAGAGTATCACGCCCGGGCAACTCAATAGGAATCTTGCCTCCTTAGTGAGCATCTATACGAAGAATTCTAACAACATCACCCTGGAAAATACCGGCACCCTCCGAAGGAAGTCACTCTTCGCGGTGGAGAAGTGGACGACGAAAATGCCCTTCATACCTTACCTGAATGACGACCGGAAGTTGACACCTGTGCTGCGTTTAATCACCCTCACCGTTCTCTTAAGCGTAGCTACCATTTTAGCGCACTCAGCTTTGCGTGCTACTTCAATTCTATTCTCTCAAAAATTTCCTCGATCGGCTATTTCCAATATTGTATCCAATGCCCCGAGCAGTACTTCTACCAGTATTATCACAGCAAATGATTTAAAACAAACTTCCCTTTCTACACTGTCTTCATCAGTGGCCGATGTCCGAGTTTTGGGGAACCAGCCCCGGGGTCATTCTCAATTGGACAACCTGATGAGCGGACTGTTGTCCCCTCCTAAGAAGCAGGAGTCCGGTGGCTTTGAGATTCAGGTTGTTGGTGATTGCCACCTTGTGATAAAGCCACCCAATATAACGTTGACTGGGAAGAAAAAGCCAAAATTCGATGTTCAAGTGAGTCGAGGAGCCAAAGCGCTCGAATATGAACTCTCTCAATTATTTGATGGGGTATACACACTCAAACTTGATCGAGGGGATGCGTACGGGACAGTGAATGTCACAGTCACTATGGCTTCGAGACCCCCTCTCCAGCAAACCACGTCGGTGGACTTTGGAACCCCATGGCTGAAAATCACAAATTGGAGGCGGGCAGCGCAGGTAATATCATCCCAATTTATGGGAGATTTCCACACTGCACAAGTTGGATTATCAGAGGTATACAGTCGATTTTGCACTGATTTGCAAGTCCTTATGGGGGATGTTGTGAAAAAAACCCATCTTTTACGTCGAGAAGCAAACGTTCTCTGTCATGGCACTGGGCATCTTTCTGAGAAAAAAGACGTGGTTATCGCGAGGTCCAAGCAGCTTTCTGAAGTCGTCAGACGTACTGCTGTCCAGCCATTCCTCGCCGTCTCATCAGTCCTGCAGGAAAATACCATCAAAGCAAACCAAGAGACGCGGGAGATTATCAGTGATACATGGCATCGAATCAGCAATCAAGCGCAGGGGTTTGAACTCAAATCTGTGAAGAACCATATTCGAAATGCGAGGAAGAGCCATGCGTTAGATAAGGCCCAGCGGAGAGCTAAGCGCTTGATGAGGCGAAAGTGCCAACACTCTGAATGTTTGTGAGAAGAGCTATGGACTTGGACCCTAGCTAATCAGTCTATATTTACGACTCCGGGCTTTGTATTTGCTTTTCGTGCGTGCCTGTGATGCCTATTCTACTTCAATGCTTTTCTCTTCCCTCGTACATCTTCTACTTCTACTTCTTCTTTTCCTCCCTTTGCTTTTGGGAGAGGGATGGCTTGTCTTGTTCCTAGGCGAAAAAGGGTCGTGATATTTTTGCTTTCATTTTTTTTTTTAAAAAGTAAAGGCCTGGAACCACATGAGAGTTTCAGGACAGATGCTATGTAGTAATGAATCCCATGTGAAATGTCAACTCCCTCTTTTGATCTTGCCACTCTTTCCTCGCCCGGGAGTCTTTAAATGCCAGTTTATTCGTTTCACTGCGTTCTATTATGCTTTACTAGTATTTCCCCAAGGTGGTCCGCAAAATATAGGAAAGGGCTCTCAAGGCGGTGGCACTAGCGGCCTTAGGCCGGAGGCAATGAACTACCCCCCACCTTTACAACAAAAACAGCCGACCATATTTTCTTCCCCTCTCTATAACCATCTCCTTAAAACCTTCTTCCATTTCAAAACATTAGGTACGTACTTGCGCTCCCACTAAAACCCGAAACCACCGAAACTCACAAACTCAGCAGAACTTCTTCACCACTTCGTCATCATGTCCGACGTCCCTGAGACCAAGCCTGACCCCACCACCAGCGCTCCTGAGGCGGCTGAGAAGCCTGAGGAGACCACCACCTCTACCGAAGCTCCCAAGACTGAAGCGGGCAAGTCTGCGACTGAGGCCGTAGTTGACACAGCTAAGGAGGCGGCCACCAAGACAACCGACAGCGTTTTCTCTATGTTCGGCGGTGGTCCCAAGAAGGAGAAGAAGGAAGAACCTGAGGACAGCAAGGATGAGCCATCTGGCTCTTCCAAGGCCCAGAAAACTGAAGAAGACGTGAGTATCTGTCTCCTTTGGCTCGCTAAACTGCTCCGTTGCTCTATATGACTTTCGTTCTACATCATCGTGACTTCCCTGCACCAAGGTTTTTGGGTTTCATGAGTCAATCGTGCTACGAGTTCGATTTGCCCTAGTACCAGTGGCTAACAATCCATCAATCCATAGGATGAGGCACCTGAGTCCCCCGACGTTCACTTCGAGCCTGTTATCCGCCTGACCGAGAAGGTGGAAACCAAGACCAACGAAGAACTTGAGGAGCAAACCTTCAAGATGCGCGCTAAGCTGTTCCGGTTCGATAGCGAGAGCAAGGAATGGAAGGAGCGTGGCACTGGCGATGTTAGACTGCTCAAGCACAAGGAGAACCAGAAGACTCGCCTGGTAATGCGCAGAGACAAGACCCTGAAGGTCTGCGCCAACCACTACAGTAAGTTTGGCGCATATGGAATATGTTCTTTTCTTCATCCGGATTACTGATGGGATATCTAGTTGTCCCTGCAATGAAGTTGAGCCCCAACGTTGGCAGTGACCGCAGCTGGGTTTGGAACGCTACTGCCGATGTCAGTGAGGGTGAGCCCGAGGCGCAGACCCTGGCTATTCGTTTCGCCAACAGTGAGAGTAAGTTGATTCCCTTGACAAGATGTGTTTTAGGTCATGGCTTTGCTAACTCAGCTCTAGATGCCAACCTGTTCAAGGAGGCTTTCGAGAAGGCTCAGCAGGAGAACGAGAAGCTCCTCGCCGACCAGTAAAACCTGTGCCCCCGAGTGGACTGAAATGAGTTTTACTTGATGAGCTATCATTAATCACCCTTTTGATTGTTTCAAAACACTACGAGTGAATATAAGACTCGCCGGTGGACAACACAGCGTTAACCCATCTGAATCCCGTTCCCCATCACACCCTTTCCGATATTATCACTTCCTCCAGCCCCACCCCCCCGACAACTACGCGATGAGAACGGTTTACTGATACCGGTCGCGACAAGATCACGAGCCAGCTTCCAGCACCCGTTCAATCTCACCCGATAACATTGAATATATGTTGATCTGGCAGTAGATTAGTAGACCCCAGACCCCTGCAAATATATGTTTGAAATGCACGATGAACCCGTTATGTAATGAATCTCATAAAATCAAATATAGATCTCCTGTGTCACGCGTAACGCTACCGGTGCCGTTGTAAATTTTCACCGTTGTATATATATTATATGTCTGTATGTATGGTTCATCTATGCGGTGACGATAGGTCTGGAAAGTGAAGGGTAGGGTAGAGTCATCAGTCACGTACTTTGTTATTTCTTGTTTTAATTTGGATCCTCGAAAGAATGGTTTATCGAGCTCTGGTAGTTCATGATGTTGGATGGGTTAAAATCCCTAGCGGCAAAGTTGACCACCAGTTAACGTCCAAGTCGTGAATGCCTGAAAGTCAAGTCAGTCGGATCGCTTCATCCGCCCCCCTCTTCCTCGCCGACCTTCTTCACTCTCCCTCCGAAGTCTTCCCTCCCCAGTACCTTCCATCCCACAACTCTCTCGTCAGGTACACCCTTACGCGGTCATCGCGCGATCTCTGAGGGTTCCACCCAATCGGAGTCCTAGTAGAATCTCACCGACAAGCGTCCTATTCAACCTCGCCTCACCTTTCATTCGCGCAATCCCCGAGCTCGATAGCTCGAATCCGTCATTCACCGAGTACCTTCCACTTAATTCTATTCCCCCTCCAGTGAGCTGAGCCAAAGGCTGCTGGCAAAATGCCCGACGTGAGTTCGTGATTGTTTCGATTCATCGCATCGCCGTCTTCCCCAATTGGCAAATGTATTTCTCAACTTGCTGTCGCATTCAACTAATGCTATCTTTCTCCCCATTCAGGTCAAGAGGAATGTCCGGCTGGTCACAGAACAGCATGTTGTGTATGTTGAATCCTGCACACCGATCTCCCTCCCAATAGAATAGAATCATTCCATGCTCATCAGCCCACTCCACGCGCCCATCGCTGTCACACGTTCCTAAACATTCTGGTGATCTACCTTGACGTTTGTTGTCGCGATTGCAAAGCAACCAAGGCGCGGTGACTTTCCTTTTCCGCACGTCGCTGTGATCATGAGCTACAACTGGGCTTTTCTTTAGCTGTTGTTTTTGCTGACTGGTCGCGTCTCCGCTTCGACAGAAACAAAGATTCGGGTGTTGAAGGGTTCCCCCTCCGGGCGTGGTCGATCGAGATTTATCTTGCCAATGACCACGGAGAGCAAGTGCCGGCCAACGTCTTCGACAAGGTGACGTATACACTTCATCCTAGTTTCGGGGATCGGGCAATTCAAAGTACGTTATTTTCTATCATCCTTCCAACACTTCGTGTATATACCCTCTTTACAAATTGAACCGCACGCCCCGGGCTTGAAACTCTCTAAGAGGGCGCGGTTGCCGGAAACCATCGGGAACGTTGAGGAAATATCACTGACGCGCAAGAATGATAATAGCCTTTAAGAATCCCCCGTTCAGGATTTCAGAAGAAGCTGGGGTGAATTCGACATGCAAATCACCCTTCACGCCGATAAGGATCACTACGTGACACACGACCTCAACTTTGCACAGACACGCTACGAGTCCAAGCACGTCATCGTAAGTGTCTCCGTCATCTTCGCCCCTACCCATTCATCCTCAAAACAGGCCGCTCATACGTATTTTCAGACATTCAAAAACCCCAAGCCTGCCTTATTGGCAGCCCTTCGCGAATCAGGTCCCGTCCCCGGAGACGAGAATGGAGTAAAATCTAAGCGTTCCGCAGCCAGCGAAGAAGGAGCAAAGAAGAAGAAGCGAACAGAGAAGAGCGTAAGGCCCCCACTACCCTCATCCATAGCAAAAGCCAGGGGCACTGCTGAAACATGAAATCGTTTTCCCAGGTGGATATGGACAAGTTAGCCGACGGTCTCCAACGACTCGGAGAAGACGATCTTCTCCAAGTGGTGCAGATGGTACACGATAACAAAGCCCCAGACTCGTACACCAAAAACGACGTCGAACGTAAGTTCCCCCCGTGTACCACGTTACACATTCCAAAAAAAAAGCGGAAGAACCAAGACGATTAACTAAAAGATTCCTACAGAGGGTGAATTTCATGTCGATCTTTATACCCTACCAGACACCCTTATCAAGATGCTGTGGGACTTCACGCAAGAGAAGGGTGCTCTGTGAATCGGCTTTGGGGAGCATTTTCCTTCTCCATCTGCCTCTACCTGTTTGCATCACTGTCGCTTTTTCTTTTCCTTTTATCCTGGTCTGCTTCCTTTATTTTCTTACCCTAGCTGCTTTTTTGTGTTTCTGACCAATGGACCGTACGATGAAATGGGAAAAGGCAAAGGCCCTGACACATCGAACATATTGAAAAAAAAAGAAAAAGAAAAAGACAAAAGGAAGAGGGATCGGGAGGTTACCGCAGCTATGCGGAGGATGGATGAAACGAATATACCTACGCGAGCCAAGACACTACCCCAACAGGGGGATGCACCTTGATGCTGGATTCCTTGAAGACAGAGATCGGAAAGCTTGCTAACGAAAGTTCCGCGGCTAATGAAATACGGAGACATACGCCAACACTTGAAATCAACTTGGTCTTAATACAAGAAATTGGAACAATCATAGTGAGATTTTATGCAAAGGAGCCCCACAAAGGCAATATAGACATATCGGAACGGAACCAATGTTGGATATCTTCAAGCTCAATCACTCCACACGTAAACCCAAATGGCTGGACAACGAGATAAAACCAGAAAACAAGTATGAGATCCACAATGCGTCGCCAACCGGAACACCTTGTATATGCATTCGGATGAAAAATTCAAGCAAAGTAATGGCACTGCCTGCCTGCAATAATAAAAGATTTCTAACGCTCGACAATGATGCTAAGATGGGAGGAAGTCATAGCGCCCGGCGCACTTCGACCCGTAATTTTCACATAAGAATCCAGTAGGAATGAGTGGATATTTACAGCACTCGGTAGCTGGGACGGTCAGCATATCTGAAACATCAAGTGTGTCATTCACAGTAAAACGTACAGTTTGAGTAAATCTTCCAAAGTCTGCGAGGTACAATCGCGACCTTTCGGGATTTGTCGGACGATCTCGACGATAGTCTCGAAGACATCACCGCCTCTGTAGGCCAACAATGCCGGGGACTTGATATGATTCATCTCGGCAATTTCATGGTGGAGCTTAACGAAGCGGACGGTTGGGTTTCTGTGCGCAACGCCTTCCAGGCAGTCTTCTACTAGAGCACTAGTCTTTGACTGTGGTAGAGGTTAGTGACATCTCAACCTATCATGTAGTAATTCCAAGTGTCACACGTACCTCGGGGTTATAGATACAGACGACCACTACCGTATCGGATGTGACTTTCTCAACGGCATCAAGGTACCCGACTGCGTCGACTGTATCGACCGATCCATACATTCTTCGACGGGGACTTGGCCGCCGGAAGTTCCGGTTCCTCAGTTCTTGTATGCGCTCCTCGCGCCATTGGCGGAGGAAGTGTTCCTCATCCTCATCACTGAGCGAACCATCCGGAGGCAGGGTATTGTGCAGAAGGTGGGAGTCGTCGGCGATGTATTTAGCGTGGTCATTATGATGCAGTGTTTTGCGGAAGGAGCTTGCACGTGCACGCTCGAAGGCCTGAGCATCGGCTATAACACCCTTGGGGCCGGTGTTGGCATCGAAGACAATGTTTGGGACATGGTAGGTGGACGAGCCGGTTCTCATGGTGGGATCGTGGTCCTCGGAGTCCGAGAACTGAGGGTGGTCTTGTTCGTCTTCTGAAAGATTGGAGTCGCGATCCGAGTCGTTGTCACGATCCTCAGGATGTGTAGAGTACTTCTCCCGATTGGACTGAACCAGACGGTTGAATTCGTCTTGGGCAGAAGACATGATGAAAGGAAGGGAACACGAGGGGGGTATATAGACTTTAAAGGATGGACAATGATAGTGTGGGATATTATTAGAGTCGGGCTGCGCCTTGATCTGCGACCACCGGCAGGGAAGTGTTCCTTCGTTTCTCTTTGCTTTTTTGAATTTTTTTTCTCGTCCTGAGTATTACCTTTTTTTTCCCTTGTTTTTTTTTTTTTGTCCTGTTGCCTGTTGCGTTTTCTTTCTTTCACCTAGCTCGTTCCACTTTAGGGTTGGCTCCGGCAGAATTGGGGCACAAAACAATGAATAACGGCGAGGATGATGACGATTCTAACTGGAATGGCTGTTTCAGAAGGTGTCTGTGCAACCTCCTGACGAGAGTGATGCTAAAGAGAGGCGGATTGACTTCACTCGAGGCCGAGGGTGGAGGCTAAGAGTGGCGGGATGAAACAACAAATTGGTGGGAAGTTTGGAACAGCCGGAGGGAGTGTCCGATGGGGCCGATCCTAATGCGCCCCATTGTCCTGGTCTCGTCATCAGCCATCCCCCCTTCCCCTGTGTTTCAAGAAGTGGAGTCCGTTTCAGCGTTTGCCGTAGACTAGAAGAGACGAAGAACATTCCATTCCATTCATTCACCATTCAGGACATAATCAGGTTGTTGTTGGTTTTCTTTCGATCCAACATGGGAAGAAGTCAGCAAAGTGGGAGGCTTTGTTTTTTGGACGGACAATGAAAAGAGTTAACTTTCCTTTTTTTAGCAGCCAACCACGTGGGCTGGCGAGAAATCAACGCTTACTTAGTATTGGCACCACTTCGCACATTCTCACCGACATTCATCCTTCAAACCTGCATCTTCCCAGTTCCAACACAGTTTCTCTTGCCATCCATTTGCTCGTCCATGATCGAGGCCCGTGCTTGATCACGAGCCCGACACGAGGATGTCTTTTTTTCCCCCAGACTGGCACCCATTTCAAATCGATCGCCCGTTCACTCAAATCTGGGCGCACTGTGAAACCCAACCCACCCAGGCATAGAAGGTGGAGCGTATCCTTCGGGTTAGCCAGTCGCTAAGAGACGAAAGGGCCCTGATCATGGGCCATGTGTCTCCTTCATAAGTGCTCGGAGGGCCGGTTTCAATGGGGACTCGGCCGGTTGAAAACGCAAAATTTCTAATACATATGCACAAGGATTATGAGCAGCTGACAGATGCCAACACTCCGTACGAGAGTTCCAAAAGTAACTGCATATGCCATTTGTACCAGTAATGTGTCAATATTGTGTCAATCATCTCCCCAAATCTTAGCTAATTGCAAATGGAGAACCATAAGATACCATGAACACAGGGTGGAGGAATATAAGGCGAGGGTCAAAGAAGAAAAAAAGAGGAGCCGCTGAAACGTAGTAAGACCCAACTCCAGGTCGAGACAAGCTCTCATGAAAACAGTCAAATGGCACGTCCAACACTTTCAGAAATAGGCAAGTTAATTAGGGAAAGAGAAACAAAAAGAAATCACGAGTCAGACAAGGAAAACATCATAGCTTGTTCGGAAACATTCCCTCCCTGTCCACCACCGGATAATAAAAACAGAGTACATGCAGAGATCAATGCGTAAGAGAGGCTATCAAAAACATAACAATCACAAGAAGTCCAAGGATTGGAGAAGAAGAGAAAACAAAGGGGGAAAAAAATTCAAAGAAGTAGGGGGGAAATTTGCAGACATGGATAAAGATTAGAAGAGAAGTGTTAAAAAAAAGAAATCAAGGCAGATCTCCCAAGTCCACCGAGGATGGGTTGAAGTTAAACAACTTTTGCTAAGAGGCCTCCACGCGGAGTCTCCTGCAACTCCCCAGTGGCCTGTCGATCGGCGGCATTATTAAGACCACCACGTAAGTCATCGAATAGTGTTATTTTGTTGCTGTTTTTTTGATGATTATGGGTCTGTCGTAGCGCGTCCATGGTGCGATGCGACAGGGTTCGACTCAAATGCTCAACCACCCTGATAGTCTGCCCTTGATAGTTCGTCGTTCCCTTCTTGATGACTTCGCCAGCATTCCCACATAATACATATATTATGGAAGTAAGGCGACAATACTGCTCCTCGGTAAATAAGATTATCGTACAACGGCGGGTGTTTGGCCTATTGCTGCAAGATTATGTTGTGAAAATATCGAAAAAGGACATGGCAAGACAGAGACAGGGTATCTTTGCTTTTTTTCTTCGGAGCTCTCCGCATCTACCAGGCCCAGACCTTGAGCTGTAAAGGGAATAAGATGTCAGTACACTGCAACATAACTTGATGAGGAACGACACGCTTACCAGAGAATCCCAAGAGCCTGTGCACAGACTAATGCCGTCATTGCTGACTCCAAGACAGCTGACGCGGTTCTCGTGACCGCTAAGAGAGCCAACCTTGTCGCCCCGGAGGACATCCCACACCTTGCATGAAGTCAGCCAACTGCCTGTTTCGTCGCCCGGTTTAAATATAAACCTACCTTGCACTCAAAATCGTCGTAACCAGCGAAAAGCAATCTTCCAGAGACGGAGAAGGCAACGGACGTGATGCCACACAATATTTGGTCGCTCTGAAGGTTTTAGGTTAGATTAATTACTGCTTCTACTGGTTTGAGATGGGGATTGGGTCGGTGTACCTGGTAAATGTTGAGCTCACGGTCCGCGCGGATGTCGAAGAGACGGCAGGAAGTATCATCGGAACCAGTGCCGAATGCATTTCCATCGGGGAAGAATTGAATAGCATTGATGTCTGATTCGTGTCCAGCGAAAGTCTGAACGGCCTTTCCGGTACGAATATCCCAGAGCTTCGCGAAGGCATCACAGCGCCCGAGACGAAGATGTTCTGATTGGTAGGGTTAATGCTGATCGACATCACGTCGCCCAGGTGGTCGGCAAATTCAGTCACTTTCGAACCCGATTCAATATCCCACAGCATGCAAGTCATGTCTCCGGACGAGGTGATAATACGACGATCGTTGATGAAGCGGCAGCAAGAAAGGTATCCCGAATGTCCGGACAGCTCGCGCGCAACACGGGTGGGACCTTCGCGGGAAGAAAGGTTGTAGATTGAGCAGATGTTGTCGAGACCACCACACGCAACGTAGTTTCCACTCGGGGCATAGGCGCAGGTCATGACCCACGATGACCTCAACGGAATTGCATGAACTTTATTCGTAGTGTAGGCGTCCCAAATGATAAGCTTTCCATCTTGCGAAGCAGAGACGAGATGACGTCGGTCGGTCGACCAGTGCATGGCGTAGATCTTGGCGAGATGGCCCTTGAGCGTCCGACGGGGCTTCATTCCGATGCGAGGCAAAGTGTCGGTTTGGTTTTGCGCGACTTGACGGACTGCACAGCCAATGTCAGTATTTCAGGAGATCGCACCGAAGTCCCCGAATTTCGGGGGCCGCTCATCACTCGTAGTGGAAACGGGGTTTCATACGAGTGGTATCGGCCAGCTCATCCTTTCTCCGCTTGATCCTATCCTTCAAGCCTTCAGCTTCGCGCCGGGCCGCGGTGATCTTGGCCTGCATCTGCTCGCCGCTCATATCGGCTGCCATCTTGACGGAGCAAGCCCCTGGAGAGGGTGATAGTCAATTGATACAGGTGGGCGTGATCGGACTGGGAGAGGGAGACGGAGAAGATAGAGAGAGTCGGGGGGGGGGGTAAGAAGAGTCGACAGCGACGGGCGTTTGGGTAATATCCAGGGGACTGACTGGGAGCGAGTGTAGAAGGATTCGGGGAGAGGGGACGCGGGAAGAGGGCGGTAGGTGAAAGCTGAGGGAAGAAGGGTGAGGGAGAGCGAAGAACGAAAGAGGGGGGTTTGATTGGATGTGGAGCGAGTCCGGCGGAAGCGACCGAGCGAAAAAGCAAGAAACTTTCGCCCCGGGGGGATTTTTGGGCCTTTTACTGCAGGGGGAACAAGAAAACTGCTGATGTGGATGGAATGAAAGGAAATCAAGATGAAAATAACAATAAAATAAAGTCAATTTTTTTTAACAGGCAAGGGAAAATCTGATGAACAAAAAAAAAAGAAAAGGGGAGGCGCAAAGGTAAAAGAGGTAAAGAAAAATTCAAATCAAATAAAATACAGGCATCTCAGATGACAAGTTGGTTGTTGTTAGCAATTGCAACCCCCGAGCAGTAAAGTAAATAGCACCATTAATCCCCCGACGACGGTCCGGTCTTTAGTAGGTAGTACAACAACTTGTCGGGTATACAACGATGAGCCTAAACATGGAGATCAAGCTACAATTCTTCTCATTCACTGGACGATCCGGTTCAAAACATATTAGACCTAGAGACTTCTGCTGTGGTTACTTCTTGACGCGATCGATCCAACGGTTCAACAGGAACAGAACAAAAGGAAGAGAAAGTCGTTTTTCTTTTTAAATTAATTAATCAGATAGGAGCCTCCTGATGGAGATTGACAATACCATTTCCCAATTACAAGAGGCCTTGATTGGTCAGCCAACATGGGTACCACAGCTCCCAACTCCTACTACGAACTTAGTAACTGTAGGTACCTGCTTTAGGGGGTTGAGTTTAAGGGGAGGCAGAGAAGAGGCGGAAATCCTCCATCCTTCATCCCCAGTGGAGTTCTCACTATTTACACATACCTGGTTGGCCATGGCGGAATTTCACATAGTGGAGGGGGGGAAACTTAAAGGCCGCGGAAAAGTTCGCAAAAGTGGACCAAAATCAGCATGAAGATAGTAGACAGTGGAGCATCAAATTGAGTGTGTATCCTGAGGGGATTGCGAAATGATAACGATCAGATCGAAGGACAGTCAAAACTACAAACAGAGTCCGTAGTGATTCAGTCGGTTGTACTAAGACTCATATAATCAAACATAGTCTTGGTAGATTTTATGCAAGCCAAAAAGTTTATAGCTATGGAGTCATTAGACTACTAGTGCTTTTAGTAAGTAGTCTCTTACTAACTAACTAGTAGTCAAAAAGCCTTTTTCCGACTGGGATCGAGGTAACGCACATGGCATTGCACCATATAATCAATGTTCTCTAAGCAAATCTCCACAGATCGGGACAAAGATGGATACTATTTACTTCATTGAACCTTCTTATAGCTGTTTATATAATCGAGTGCTCCGGGTAGTTAGTTGCAGCATGTATTGGGGAGGACATCCTAAAATTCCAACGCGAATAAGGATCAACGTGTAACTGCAGATCCCGTAATGATTTGGAAGTAGCTGTCATATTTATGACTGAAACTGCCGGCGGCTATACATGCAAGGCGATTAACTGGGGCAATGTATGATTGTATGTACATACATACATCCAGTGCAAGTCACGACCTGATGCAGATGCTTTTAGCCTTGCATTCCCGGCTCGTGATACCCACAACCCTAGGTGAATAAATGCACATACCAGATACCAACGTTTTTCATTTTAAATAAGTGTTTCAGTTGTATAGCCTTGGGGCACTGCATGAATTAGCATGCAGTAGACTCTCCATATACTAGTTACTCGTATATTGATTATCGTTTGCATCAATGCTGAGCTCAGAAAATAAAAGCGATCCATTGGGTTACTTCTCTAGACGGGCCGTGACACCCAACATACACAGTGAGAACTGTTGACCGACTTCCCCTGTATCAGTCATCGAAGGCAATACTACATATAGAGTAGTAAGACAATCGAAAAGGCAAGATTGTACTCCGTAACAGCACTGTAAATACCGCGGGCCTAACCTACTGTCGAGAGGGATAAATGAACAAAGGGACATGATTTGTGGATAATGCTGGTCAGTGTTCCCTGAGGTGGGGACTCTATCGCGGAAATTGGTCGGCATATCCAATGATCTGGTTGACTGAGACTTTGTTCCGAGTGGTCCGTGAGACTGTCCTCCTCTCGAGCAATAACTCCACTGCTAAGAACATAGCTCGGAGACCGTGCCTGACTAGTTCGACCAACGCCCCTCTTCAGCGGAGGTCGTCATTACCCGTGATTAATAATAACAAGGCGTCCGTAGTGCAGAAAGGAGGATCATTGTTTTTGCCCCAGATTGTTGCCCGGCACACTTAGCCATTCCTGCAGAGTCCTTGTTGACCGACCCGTCTGCACTCTTCAAACAAAAAAAAAAAAAGACCGATTCAATAGACAAGACGCTTTCACCCAACCCATCTGTGACCCTATGACGGCATTTGCATGTCCCCCGGCCCGGCCGTGCCGGTTAGTGGTGTTTCATTTTTCTGCCGGACAATGGAGGCGCAGCTGCCCGTGGCTGAACGGGTAAAGCATAATACCAAGTCTTCCGGTTAGAGTCTGTCCATCAGCCGTGCATTTCTAGGACAACAACAGAACTGGTTTACAGAGTCAGTGCAAAGACGGCGTTGGAATAACCCTAAATCCTGCAGGCCACGGTATGAATAGATCATAGTTAGCCCTCCTGTAGGAATGGCTCCGAATAGCGCTGATTCTTGGACGGCGGCTAGTTGTGGTCGCTTCCGCTGTGTGTTTTGCAGCCAGCGCTTGTTTAGTTTCTAATCATAGAACCGTGGGTTGTCTGTGCGTCTTGCTAGGTCATGTTTCGCTTGCTATAGGCTGTAATGCTGGCTCCTGCTGCCATACCTGATCCTGGTGGTAGTCCATGGAAGTGAGCGACCTTGACGGCTGATTACTAGTTTTAAGTCGTTCGCAAATGTACAGAGTATGTTCGCAAAGACACGTGCGAATCTATATTCCATGTCCTATTAGTCAAGATCCAGAGTTATAGGATCATGGAAATAGTATAGATTGACCATCAAAGACTAGAATGACAGACAATAACCACCTTTTCCAGCAAACGAGGAGGCCGCCGGGTATTCGACACCGGTTTTCCAAACGACGCCATCATATCAGTACTACTTTGAAGGCTCGACATCCCTGGCAGTGGAGACACCATACTGTGCAGACTCTTTCTGTTTTCGAGAGTACTCTGAGTTGGTCTTTGCTTGCTGGATCTACAAGACTCCACTCGTTCCGGAAATGGGGCATCATTACGGAGTAAACCCACCGGAGGGGCTGGAGGCTCATAAGCGAAGGAGCCCAGAAGGGAGGTAATTTCCTGGAAGCCCTTCACTCTCCACAAGCAATATGACGGCTGTACTCTACATAAGATCTTGTGCTGGTGGTATCGGGGAATAATTACTTTCACACGAGCCTTTTATAGGTCCTATGGAATACTATGAGCTATCCTGAAGTCTGAGCGATATACTGTGAATGTACCTTCAAAGTGACTTGAGTCAAGCTTTGTTCCTGACTCCGATATTACCGCCTGACGCGGAAGACTACCCACAATAGTTTATCCTGCACCATATTCGATATTAAGCTCCGCATCAAGGCCTGGTACCTTCGGTCTTGGGCCATAGAGGTTAGGTTGGGTGTAGACCCGAAAAAAGAACAAAGAAAAGAAAAGAGATAGAAGTGATTCTGGTGCTCATATCTGATCAGTACTCATGGGCATTTCAATTTCAGCACACAAGCATGTGCAGCTTGTAGTCCAGCTCGCGGTATGAGCTCACAAAACACGACAAGTGAGGTCTAGAAAAGCCTGGATTCAGCTGCTGAGGTGTCAACGACCGGTGCTCTACATCTTTGGATCGGGTACACGTAGTTTCGGCGAGTCAATGGTCTGAAGCATTGGATACAGCTGAATGACTGCTCACCGTAGGTATGTCTTAACTGCTGCAGGAGAGCGCCTAAGGGTGTGGTCTCGGATTTAGCAGGGGATAGTTCATCTAACGATGATATCCATTGGAGATAATTTGACGCATGACAGCTGGCCTTATAGTACTCGGTGATGTATATTGCGATTGGGGCATCACCTGATAGCGGTCGTTGGGTGCCATACGACAGATTGCCCTTTTGAGATATATGTACGGTAAGACTCACGGCTGGCACTTGAGAATTTGTTGGTCAGCATAACAGTCAATAAGGCTAAGAACAGGTTATGGTTGGTATAGTGGACATATCATAGTACATCCAATGGAAAAGAGCATACTAATCTTGAGTATACTCGGCTTTGTATACAGAAATCCTCATAAATAGCTTTTGGCTAGAGGTGGACTCCTGGGGCTCAAGACGACGAGGAAAGGGGAAAATAAATTAAAATAGATAAACCAGCAGGAAAAATATAGCATGCTGTAGTTGTGATAGGGACCCGTTATCCTGAGCTAACAGGCTCTATACGGGGATATAGGGGTAGGAAACGTGGAATATACGCTGTAAATATGAAGCACTCTAGGTTCTCCAAAGAAAACGCAAGGACAAAATGGGAGGTTAGAGGGATGGGTGCCAGTGTACGTTGCCGGTCTGTTTGGCTGTATATCACTGGCTAAAAAAGGTCTAGACTACATTTAGATAGATTCAATAGTCCAGTATATTGCGTGGTGGTGGACTTTGTAGATCAATATCTCATGGATTAATTAATGTAAGGTTCCTCTTAGGGCTGGGTCAAAGCGGAAGGCGAAGCGGTGAGATCAGGTCAGCAGAACAAGCATGCCACATAGGTTACCGAATTAGTAATATCAATACACAGCCGTAACTAATCAAGTCGCCC